TGCAGGTGCCAACCAGCTGCCAGGTTAGATCAAGTGCATGGCAGGTGCAGGACCTACTAAGGGGACCAAGGTAGCTAAGTGAATGAAACATAGACTGGGGCCACCGTAGTCAGCAGGTCTGTGGGCAATCAAGTCCCGGGAAAGGCTGGCATCAGAGCCCAGCAAGTGGTTTCATGCAGAGGGCTGGGTCCAGGGCTCAGCAGATGAAAAGCAGTACCTTGCCCCATACCCCTGCAGAAAGCCAGCCCTGAGTAAGTCTGGTCCAGCCAGGAAATGGGAACCAGAGGAAGAAAAAGACAATAGCTCTGGCCTCTGGCCACTTGTCTTTAGCACAGAGATCTGGGTGACACAGAAAGGCAGAGGGAGCCCACAAACTTCCAGGACAGTTGGAAAGGGGTGAGCGGGAGACGGGGTACAGAGGCACGGCTGCACAACCAGCCATCTGACCACCCAGTTCTGGGAGGACAGATCATGCCTGGAGTGGACAGGAGCTCAGCACCCCAGGGGACCCTGCCTCGGGGAACCAACAGCTCCTACTGGTGTCCCACAAGTGATACCCCACCACTTCATTGTCTCCCCTCCTGCACACAACCCAGCACCAATTCCTGTGATCATTCCTGTGATCATCTTTCTCCAGGATCACTCTGGAGAAAGTCCCTTCCTCACTGGTCTTCCTGCTCTGCAGCAGTCTGTAGCACAGTCTCAGATCCCAATGCATCCAGCCTCAAATGCCCTAAGTGGCCAAGTTTTCATCTACCTCTTTCATGCTCCCTGCCTCAGGGGCCGCCCATGGCTCGTGGACAGAGATCCATGCTTTCTCGCACATTCCCTTCACAATGACTTTCACCTGTACCTGGAGAGCTTCCTCACTTCCTCCAGCCCTTCTACCTCATCCTTCTTTGAACTAGCTCCTCCTTCAGATTGCAGCTGAACAGTCAGTCCTCCTAACTCCTCAGTCCAGGTCAGATTGTTTTATCACAGGTCTTGTAACAAACTAGACACTCCTTTTCATTCTCTGTCAAACCTGGAGTCACACAGGCTTTGGATTTTGTTTTTACTAATGGTACTCGCAGAGAATGAATCAATGAGTGATGAATGAATAGGGGGGAAATCTACCAACTACAAACCCCACAAGATCAGGGGTCTGCTCTTATTTTCCTCACTTTCTCTAAGAGCCGGGCATAGTGACAGACACCTAATATATGCTCAACAAACGTTCATTGGTAGCAGAAGGAAAGAGAGTAACAGCCAGGCTAGCCCTCAGAGCATGGCATAGAGAATCATTTGGCTCCAGATTTCAGTGTTGACAATTCCAACTTAGTTAAAATAAATGTCATGGGGCTGGGGATTTAGCTCAGCGGCATAAGTACCTGCCTTGCAAGTAAGCAGTCGTGAGTTTGATCCCCCATACCAATAAAAATAAAATAAAATAAATGTCACTTTCCAGGGCCAACTTTGGCCATGACTTGGCAGGAAAAGGGCATCATGCCTCAGTCACCAGCCCCCCAAAATGCTGATTCTTTAAATACATAGCCTTGCATGTTGGGGAGTGTAAATGCCAGATCCAGGCAGCTGGTCTGGGAGGGCAACTGTGTCTGCTGTCCCCAGCCCTGCATGCAGACAGATACTCTCTGACTTCTCAAGAGGACCTACCCTGAAGGTAGGCTCAGGGCTGCTTCTTGGTGTCAACTTACAGCTTTCCCAGTCTCTTGGTGGCCTACACTACACTCTTAATTCTGGTAACTGCCCGGGAACAAGCCCAGCAGATGTGTCAGATCACAAATGACAGGCAGTTTTACACAGGGTAAAAGTCACAACTTTTTTTTCCATGACCAATTTGTAAATCTCATCTGCTGCCACAGTGATTTACTGACCATAGGGTCATATATCCTTCAGCTGATTAGAAATGAGCGGTACCTCCCACACCCTCTGCCACCTGAGCTAATGAAGCTGTTCCCAACTTGTCTAAGCCCTTGGTTCTCCTCTGCCTATGGACAGCCTTTTCCCAGGAGGGAGACGACACAGCTCCTCTGGAGTCAAATAAGTACTGACAGTGACTCCAAAGACAGCACCAAGGAGCCTATTGTCACCACAGTGTCACCAGGCAGGCTACCTACCCCCACTTCCTGAAGCCCCAGGACACAAATGTTGCATATACATCAAGACATCATCCTTAATTTTTATTCATGTGCCTATTTATTTATTTTCGGCTGTTCCTCTGCAGAGCCACGTTGACCTCTTCAGGTCAGCACTATATAACTCATACCTTCTGATTAGCTAAAAGGCTGGTCCCTTGTTTCCCACTGTGTGCAGGGTCTCTAATTGCCACAGATGCTCATTAAAGAACTGCCATAATCCTCTGTCCACCTTCTTGCCTGTAGGTACCGCCACACCCTTCATTCTCCAATACAGATGCCACACATGGAAAATGGGGGATGAGACTTTCCAAGCTGGAAGCAGCAGGAGAAGTTAAGATTCCAGGGTTCTCAGACTCCAGGCCAGGCAGCAGGGAGGAGCAGGGGAAGTGAGCTGGGGACCACACCTTCCCTACCTCCTCACTCCATCCACTAGATGCATTAACAAACCACAATAAAAGCTCCAAGCACCCACCCTTTCTTCGATCTGCAAAACCACAGACAAGCACCTATCAGAGTGCCACTAGCTAGAACGCAGAGAGAAAAGCCAAAGGGGGGGGGGCGCGTGGAAGCAGCCTGAATGATGTGACGTTTCCAATCAGAAAAACCTAACACTGATCCTTGTAAGTGAATAGAAGGCAAATTCTGAGATTAATCTGCCAGCCACACTTCCCTAACAAGGACACAGCAAAAAAAGTAGTTACTGAACTTTCCCAGATTTGTTAGCTTACATAAACAGAGATTCGAATAAATGTTTTAAAAATGAAACCCCCTTGATACTCTGTAATCAGTAAATGTTCATTATGGAAACACAGCAAATATGCATGAAATTTCCCAAGTGATATTCCAGCTACAAGATGAAAAAGGCATCTCAAACAGCAGGCTGAATTACAAAGCATCCTCCTCTGGTCACAGCCATGCAAGCACTTTGCCAAGCGCGGGAGGTCAGACAAGCCAGCTCTCCTCTCCCAGCAGGGGCCAGGGAAAAGCGGAGGATCTTATTTTGTCCACTCAGGCAATTTATAAATGTGCCCCTCCCCAGCCAACTGAAGTCTCTCTCTAAATAATTAATCCTTGACCTTGCTTTAGGAAAACCTTGACTTTTTAATTTGGGGTCTTTTTAAAAATCAATACCCAGGGAACATAATTCACTCTTGCAGAGTTTGACTCCCAGTGAATAAACAAATAAATAAATAAATGGTGTCATTTGTGCATCCCAGGGCAATCAGGCCAGGCAATGGGATGGGGTCAGACTTTGAGGTTTTCTGTTTTCAAATGCTATTGAATTATTGATCATTCCAGTGCAGCTCAAAGTCTTCAGGATCTGCATGTTATCTCTCCTGGGGGTCAATTCACAGGGCAAATCTATTGAAGGCTCCTAAACAGGCGCCCACTGTCCCTGAGGGGACCCCACATCCTATCGCAGATAAATAGTGGGATGTCTTGAGTAAAAGAGGCTCTTCTCGTGGGACCGGTGCGGCTCCTTTCTATGGTCTGTCTGTCTAGTCCCTGGGACAGGATTGTTGGGAGAAGCCACAATGACTGCACGAATTTAAGCAGTGACTGTTCCTCCTGCTCCAGTGGTTGCGCTGTGCAGGGGCAGGTCTAGGACAGGCCCTCCCGCATGGGTCGAGACGAAAACAGAAGTGAGCCCGGAAAAGTGTGGTGTGTGAACATCCTCGGAAAGAGTTAACCCGCCCCTTACCTCTCTGTCCACTTCCCTCTACGATCCACCCCAGAGTCCTTTATGCAGCACCCAACGGTCTCTGCCATGAGCTCTGCTTCCTGAATACATTCATACCAAGCGATAGAGAGAGAGCCCAGCCCGAGAAGGAGAGACAATCGAGGCTGAGGGTCTAGCTGAGAGGCAGCTCAAAGAGGCGGGGTTCCCTGTGATCCTGGAGTCTGCTGCGGGACAGAACCTCAGAATCAACCCCTATTTCTCTATTAGCACAGTCAGATAGGGGGTCAGGGTCGCAGGGCCTGGAGAGAAAATGTACTAGGAAAGTTCGGGCAGCGCGAGTAGCGCGCCACAGAAGGAAGAGGGGTCCAAGCGCCACCTCTGACACAGCCAAAAGCTGCAAACGCACCTTCCGGCCAGCTTCCAGGGAGGCCAGAGCCGCTGTGCTGAGAAGCAGCCTGCTTCGCAGCTGGAGTTGCAGCCGTCGCCAGCGCTCAGCTCCGTCCCGCGGCAAAGCGGATTTTTTCATCACACACCCAAGCCGCCCGAGGTTCCGACTCCTGCACTCCGGAACACACGCACGCACACACCTTCACACCATCACTGACGCACACACGCCGGGCCCACAGGCCGGTGCTCCGGAGAGTCGCGGGGCGGGGATGCGCGCGACAGAGCGCGAGTACCTTTTGCCTCCTAGTAGAAAACCAAAGCCACCTAACTTCTTTCCCTCTTGCCCACCACAGCCCCCGGAGTCCCAGCTCCGTACGCCCGGGAAAGCCCGAGCTCCAGCCCCGCCCGTAGGGTGCTCGCGGCTCCGCGCCCAAGCCTGCCTCCCCGCTCCCCACACCCAGGGCTGGAAGGAGGACCAGAGGTCCGCAGGGACCGAGCGAGCCCGAGGGCAGGCATTCACCGCCGCGCGGCTACTAGTGAAATCCCAAGGCCAAAAGTCTAATTAAAGTTCCCGCTAGAGAGGTCGCCCCAAAGAGGTCCCCAAAGTGCCGCCGGACGGGAGCCACGCACGCCCCATCAGGGTCCGCGGCTGTAGACTCCAATCCACTTCAGGTCGCGGGTTGGGCGCACGGTGCGGTTCTGTCCCCCAGCCCCAGGACGCCTCACGGGGTCCCCTGGGGCTAGCAGCCTGGGCAGAGAAGAAATAGGGGTGGGGCAGGGGCGCAGCTACTTACCTGGCGCAGGCGGCGCTCGGGAAGCCAAGTGATCTTCTGGTCCGGCAGCGATCCTCCGCGGCAGGCGAACCCTGCGCTCGGGGCGCCCGGGCGGCAGGCAGGTCCTCCACCCCGGCTCCTGCCCGGCGCCTTCGCTCGTTTCTTGCGGAACCCGGTGCGGTCGAGCGGTTTGGGGCCGGGGCCCCGAGCGCACTGGAAAGGGAGAGGGCGCGGAGCCACGCTCCTCCTGGCCTTCGCCCCGGCTCGTCCCCCGCCTCCACCGCCTGGTCCTCTCTCCTTCCCGCAGCGATGCCGGATTCGCCTCACGCGCCGGGAAGGCTCCCAGCGAAGTGCGAGCGAAGCCTCCCGCAGGGCTGGAAATAGCGCCGCGCCTGCCCGGCGCCCCGCCCCCGGCCCGGGCCCCGCCTCACGGCGGTGGCGAAGACTGTGGTGGCCTGGCCGGGAGGGGATCTCTCTAGTGATCGCTCGACATCCCCAGGAGCTTACAGGCGCCGCGCCCACGCACTCTCTGCGGCTCCCGCCGTCCCGGAGGTTGCGCGCGGCGGTGGAGCCACCGCTGGGCGCGGTCGGGCAGCCGCGGGGGTGGGGCGGTCGGGGCTGGAGCTGAGCGGATCTCTCAGATCCCAAAGCTGGACTGCTCTAGAGCTTGGCTCCACTGCGCAGCCAGAGTACGGCCACTGCCCAAGAGAGATCTGGGAAAAGGACGAAGCGCCGCCGGGCAGGGTAGTGTGCTCAGGACCTGACGCTGCGAAGGCTCAGGGCCTGCAGGAGGCCGAAGGTTGATGCTTAGAAAGGTTCGGGAAGGTCTTCTGGCTGTAGTCTGGTGTGGAATTCAGCCAAGGTCTTGCCACTTACCTGTACGGATCCCCAAATTCCTGGGGCTTTAGGGGTCTACTCTAAGTACCAGTGACCCACCTTCTCCCTTGAGGGCTTCCTTCCTCCTTGGAGACCCTGTTGGTGACCAGCCTGAGCAGTGAGCCTACCATCTGTTTCCCTACAGTGTGGGGCCTACACCCAAAGCGTGGGGATGGGACCGGTCCCCACCAGACAGCACCAGGGAGAGCAAGCACATATACAGGGCTGTGGATTCAGGTCCTTGTTCTTTCTGGGGAAAGGCAACCCCCACCTGCAGGAGGCCAGCAAGGGACTAGCAGGCTCTTTTCTCCCAGGAACTGTATGAAGCTGTGTAAATCAGTTGCCTCTTGGGTTCAAAGGAACAGGCAGTATTTTCAGAAGCTTGCAGAGCTTTTAGTAAAGCAGAATGAAGGTTGCTCTTCATCCTTTCTGATTGTATCTGCTGGCTGCTTGGCCTGACTCCAGTGGGCTGACCCAGATGAGAGATGGAGTTGGGGAGTGAAGCAGACCTTTAACCCTTGCCCCCAGTGGGGCACCCTTGGCAGGGAGCATAGCCACTCTCCAAGGACAGCCAGGAAGCCCCAGCCAGGTGGCTTGCATGACAGGCCCAAATGGCCTCCTTCATGCCCCAGGTAAGCTCAGCGCATCCAAAGACAGAGCAGGATAGGTGAGAAGAAAGATGGAGGCATGCTGACACTGTGATTGTCTTCCTTTCTTTAGTGCAACAGTAATGTAGGTGTTATCATCCCCATTTTACAGATGAGGAAACTGAGGGTACAAGAATGCCACCAAATTGTTGGAATCCACACGTCTAGAGGATGGTAGAGCCAGGATCAGGCCCAGTGCTGGTTCCAACATGGGTTAGGATGAACTGGGGCTCCCTCTTTAGAAGTGAGCTCAGACTGTCCCAGGACTGTGCTGTGGCCTACCCATACTCTACTGGCTATACCAGGTAGTTGGGGAGTGGTAAGTATGTAGTAAGTATGTAGCTAACATCATCCTATTCCACCTATCAGATGTAATAAACTAAACACAAGAGACGATTCAAGTGTTAGGGAGAATAGGCCAGTAGAATCTTTACCCCTAGTCCCAGAACTGTCTAGAGCAGAACAGAGGAACCAGAAAGGGGAGGGTAGAATGAACAGAAAGCTGCTTGCCCCCCATGTACCCCAGAATGCACTGACACTGTCCCTTGGCCCTTCCATCAAGCCCCTCTTACCACCTGGCCACAGCTCAGCTGGGCAGCTGCCAGTGAGTTCCCTCTCACTCTGCAGTTGGATCTGGGCAGATTGCAGGACTTTGGCCATAAAGATGTGGTGGTCAAGAGAAATTCTTATGCCAGAGGGCAAATGCACACACACACACACACACACACACACACACACACACACCTCACAGAGAGTGAGGGAGACAGAATGCGAGTTTCCATTTCCAAAACCCAGTCTCATATCAGGGAGGGGTTTGGGATACTGAGTACCTCTATGGAACAAGTTTCATAGGCTTTATTTCCACAAGACAAGGCTACACAGGCTGCATGGTGACCGGTGAATGGGGCCAGTCAGCCCATCTTAGCTGCCCTGCCCATCTGTGTGCAGCAATCTTTCTGGGAAGGGTGGTTTCCCCATTAGCTTTTCCAACTGTACTTATTAACACTGCTTGCATCTAATATTCAGGCAGACATGACTAGGAATCAACAATGGTACATTTCTTTGAAGGTCTCCACATTTTCAGTTTTTCAACCCAGACTTCCTTCTTGTTTGGAGGCGCCTCGGGAAATCCCTAAAGGGACCGACGCCCCTGGCACTAACACAGTGAGTTTTCCCTCTGAGAGATTCGCCAAGGGCTTCGTGCCCTTTTTTGAAAGTCAGGCTCAGCCTCTGCAGTGAGGGAGGCGGAGGAATGCTGCAATTCCCCAACATGAAGCCCTGTGTGCTCGCTTGCAGGATTTTGATATGTGTGTCTCCACCAGAAGATTAGTGGCGAACTTGTCTCTTTGCATCCCAACTAAGGTAAAAAGACACTTCCATGGCAGGGCACTGTGAGCTCACAACCTAAACTGCAGAAGACCTAATGAGGGAGGTTCAGAAGTCACTGTGCGTTTGCTGTAAGGGCTTCGAGAGCAGGGAGGAGGCTTGGCTATGAGCCATAAGCAAATCCCTTTTTCCACTGTTTTTGAACCTCGGACTCCTCCCCCACCCCCACCCTTTCCGCCAGTGAAGAGCCCCGGGCACCTTTGCACTGGAGACTGAAGATGGCACAACTAAAAAGCTAAGATTGCGTCTTACTGTGTTTGGGAATGGGCAGGAACCCATTGACAAGAATGAGCCTTGAGTCCTAAATTCTGCTGCCATCACAAGAGCCAGAGTATTCTCATCCATCAGGCAGTAGAGGGCTATGTGATGGCAGTTCAGGAACACTTTTTAGTCTCCCTGGATCCCATAGGAGAAAGAGAAGAACAATGAGACAAAACAGGGTCAGAGCTCTCTCAGTGCCAACCAGTGGCTTTGAATGTATCTTCTAGTGCTTCTGGTCCTGTTTCCTGTTTATGAAAGAGGACAATAGAATCTGCCTTGCAGAGCAAGGGGTAAGGGATATGAAAGCATTTTAGGATAATGGAGTACTGTGACCATCCTTGCCAAGGTCACCCCCAGACCTACCACTTTCAGGGTAGCCCCATAACGACCTTTGAAATATGGTGAACTCAAGGTCTCCTAAAATGAGCTCAACGGGCAGACAGATCACATCTGACATGCTGATCAGGTCATATCCAGGTGGGTGACTTCCCAGGGGACACAACTGCCTTTTCCAGCTGCCTCTCCTGGGATCCTAGTATGGGCTTCATCTTCATCTTTTCAACAGTAAGAAGAATAGAGCTCCCTGTTCAGATCTGACTTGTGATTCTATGATTCCTAACAATTTCTTGTCTGGGAAGAGGCCCAAAACCACTTCTGGGCAAGACATACCTTAGTCATCCTGAATGAATGCTTCTGCTTGGTCTCCTCTCTCCATTCCCTATGATCTTCCCTCTTTCCTGTTATTCTTTGGGTTTCCATGAAGTTTGAAAAATCACTTTGTCAAATTGCCTTGAAATGTGTTGATTTCAGCACGTCCACGTGATTCTCCAGCATTAGCAATGATGTTGCAGGGTTCCAGGCACTGTACACCTGTCCCAGCTCCCAAAACTTCACCACTCTGAGACCTAAGAGGAGATCATTCCTCTTGTTAGAGAAGATTTCGGGGTAAAGTAAGGTGACACCACTGTCAATCCTTAACATGAACCAGAGTTGGCGTTTCTGGGTAGTATGCAGTAGAAACAGATGGAATAACTTGAACAGAAAGGTGGGATTACTAGAATTTTAGGGTGAAAGCCCTGGATCTGGGGGTTCTCAATAGACCAACTCTGTCATTCATTCCAAAATGCCAACCAAGGAGAGCAGCAGTGATTAAAGGGACTGTAATCAGCATGTCCATGCGGGGAAGCAGAGTCCTTAAGAGGCTGACAGAGTCTGAGGTTTTATAGCAAGGGGGAACAAAGGCAAGGGCCTTGGGTTCCATAGCTGGCACGTTAGGTGATCCTTGTTAAGTCACTCTTTAGTTGCGGGTATCTCAGGATGTCTGCTGTGAGGTCTGGGAGCCAGCATCATGAGGCAGCAGTTTAGTTCCCATCACAAGATGACAGATTGTTTGGGAAGCAGCCACAGCTCTGTCATGGGGTAACTGCTCCTGCATGGGGGAGGGGGCAGACCTCATTATGGGGTGTTCGGTGAGGCTGTGCTTCTTCTGAAGTCCAAGGTGACTGCAGCTTTAGGACGGTGACTCAGAACTTCTAGGCTTCACCCCAGTAGGTCTGGAACTGGACATTTCAGAATTAGATGTCCCTGAAAAATTACCTTAGTTATTTTTGACTTGGTGTCTTCAGCCTTGTAGGGAGATGAGACAGGTTAGGTAATTTTAGGGCTACTAGATCTTGTGACACAAACACTCCCTGAGTGATTAAGCATGCCTGTGTGCAGAGCTGATCCAGGATCTGACCCAAAATTTGAAGGTAATTAGGGAGATAAAATGAAGGCAGAGATGTCATGCTTTTAGTTACCCCATTTGGGCATCAGGAGACCAAGCTCCTAAGTCTCTATTGTAGCAGTACTTTCTTTAGAAAATGCTGGGGGATCTGACTGCACAGAGGGGGAGCTGAGCAAACAGGGGAAATAGTAACCAGGGCAGTGGACTAGAGAGATCTGGGGGGCAGCTCTTTGTGTCTTTAGGAAGAAAAGCCTCCCTAGACCTGGCAGACTGCTGCTGTGATTGCCTGAATTTCTTCTCCCCTATTTTAATATGAACAGGCCTAGGGGGGTGGAGGGCTTGTTGATCCCAGAGACTAAGCCATGCCTATGTCCACATCCAGCCCATACATGCAAACTGTTCTCAGAACCACCTTGACTTCTTCACTAAGGTCTTGCCAAGCTCAGATTCTTTTTTGGTTTTGAGACAGGGTCTCACTAAGTTGCCCAGTTGTCCTTGAACTTCCAGCCCTCCAGCCTCAGCCTCCCAAGTAGCTGGGATTACAGATATGACCACCATACCTGAATTCGAGTTCATTTTAGTATATACTTTAAAAAAAAAAAGAAAGAAAGAAAAGTCCCCACTGGACTGACAGCAGCTGACCACTCTTTCAGCTCC